TTCTCTTCTCCTGCTGGGTTTAGGCTTTATTTGCTGTTCTTTCTCCAGCTCCTTTAGGTGTAGAGTTAGGTTGTGTACTTGAGACCTTTCTTGTTTCTTGAGAAAAGCTTGTATTGCTATATACTTTCCTCTTAGGACTGCCTTTGCTGCATCCCAAAGATTTTGAATAGTTGTGTTTTCATTTTCATTGGTTTCCATGTATTTTTTTAATTCTTCTTTAATTTCCAGGTTGACCCATTCATTCTTCAGTAGGATGCTCTTTAGCCTCCATGTATTTGAGTTCTTTCCGACTTTCCTCTTGTGATTGAGTTCTAGTTTCAAAGCATTGTGGTCTGAAAATAGGCAGGGAATGATCCCAATCTTTTGGTACCGGTTGAGACCTGATTTTTGACCTAGTATGTGATCTATTCTGGAGAATGTTCCATGGGCACTAGAGAAGAATGTGTATTCCGTTGCTTTGGGGTGGAATGTTCTGAATATGTCTGTGAAGTCCATTTGGTCCAGTGTGTCATTTATTTTTTTTTTTAAAGATTTTATTTATTTATTTGAGAGGGAGAGAATGAGAGAGAGCACATGAGAGGGGGGAGTGTCAGAGGGAGAAGCAGACTCCCTGCCAAGCAGAGAGCCCGATGTGGGACTCGATCCAGAGACTCCAGGATCATGACCTGAGCCGAAGGCAGTCGCTTAACCAACTGAGCCACCCAGGCGCCCCCAGTGTGTCATTTAAAGTCTTTATTTCCTTGTTGATCTTTTGCTTAGACGATCTGTCCATTTCAGTGAGGGGGGTGTTAAAGTCCCCCACTATTATTGTATTGTTGTTGATGTGTTTCTTTGCTTTTGTTATTAATTGCCTTATATAATTGGCTGCTCCCATGTTAGGGGCATAGATATTTACAATTGTTAGATCTTCTTGTTGGATAGATCCTTTAAATATGATATAGTGTCCTTCCTCATCTCTTATTACAGTCTTTGGTTTAAAATCTAATTTGTCTGATATAAGGATTGCCACCCTAGCTTTCTTTTGGTGTCCATTAGCATGGTAAATGGTTTTCCACCCCCTCACTTTCAATCTGGGGGTGTCTTTGGGTCTAAAATGAGTCTCTTGCAGACAGCATATCGATGGGTCTTGTTTTTTAATCCAGTCTGTTAGCCTGTGTCTTTTGATTGGGGCATTTAGCCCATTTACATTCAGGGTAACTATTGAAAGATAGGAATTTAGTGCCATTGTATTGCCTGTAAGGTGACTGTTACCGTATATTGTCTGTGTTCCTTTCCGGTCTATGTTGCTTTTAGGCTCTCTCTTTGCTTAGAGGACCCCTTTCAAGATTTCCTGTAGGGCTGGTTTTGTGTTTGCAAATTCCTTTAGTTTTTGTTTGTCCTGGAAGCTTTTTATCTCTCCTTCAATTTTCAATGACAGCCTAGCTGGATAGAGTATTCTTGGCTGCATATTTTTCTCATTTAGTGCTCTGAATATATCCTGCCAGTCCTTTCTGGCCTGCCAGGTCTCTGTGGATAGGTCTGTTGCCAATCGAATGTTTCTACCATTGTAGGTTACATATCTCTTGTCCCGAGCTGCTTTCAGGATTTTCTCTTTGTCTATGAGACTCGTAAGTTTTACTATTAGATGTCGGGGTGTTGACCTATTTTTATTGATTTTGAGAGGGGTTCTCTGTGCTTCCTGGATTTTCATGCCTGTTTCTTTCCCCAAATTAGGGAAGTTCTCTGCTATAATTTGCTCCATTATACCTTCTGCCCCCCTCTCTCTTTCTTCTTCTTCTGGGATCCCAATTATTCTAATGTTGTTTCGTCTTATGGTATCGCTTATCTCTCGAATTCTGCCCTCGTGATCCAGTAGTTGTTTATCTCTCTTTTTCTCAGCTTCTTTATTTTCCATCATTTCATCTTCTATATTACTGATTCTCTCTTCTGCCTCATTTATTCTAGCACTTAGCGCCCCCATTTTTGACTGCACCTCATTAATAGCCTTTTTGATTTCTACTTGGTTGGATTTTAGCTCTTTTACTTCTCCAGAAAGGGTTTCTCTAATAACTTCCATATTTTTTTCAAGCCCAGCTAGTATCTTTAAAGTGATGATTCTGAACTCTAGATCTGACATCGTACTAATGTCCATATTGAGTAGGTCCCTGGCAGTCGGTACTACCTCTTGTTCTTTTTGTTGAGGTGATTTTTTCCGTCTTGTCATTTTGTGCAGAGGAGAATAGATTAATGAGAGAACAGAATGCTAGCAGAGTAACCACGTCCCCAGAAAATATACTCTAAACAAATCAGAAAAGACCTGAAGCAGTGGGATAAGAAAGGGAAAGAGAGAAAAAAGAAAAAGAAAAAAAAGAAAAAGATAAAGATAAAAACAAAAACAAACAAAACAAAACAACAACAACAACAACAAAAAAAAACAGAATGTGATCAAATATGATCAGGCTGGTATATAGATCAGTGCCACACACTAGATTTGGGGTGTATTTTCGTCTTTTAGAAGAAAGTGCCTCCCAAAATTTTAAAGAAAGAAAAACTTATATATGTACAAAAATAAGGGTTGATATGATGAAGGGATGGACTATGACTGTAAAAATGGAAATTATAAAAAATTTTATAAAAGGAGTTGATAAGAAGTTGTTTGAAAAAAGAAAGAAGAGGATTTAAAAAAAGAAAAAAGAAAAAGAGAAAAAAAAAGGGAGAGGATGTGATCAGGCAGGGGAATAGAAAACACCATATACTAGAGATTTAGGGTATATTTTAATCTGTTAGAAGAAACTATCTCAAAATTTTAAAGGGAGAACAACTTATATATATAAGCCAAAAATATGGGTAACTACTATTAAGGGATAGAATATGACTCTAAAAATGAAAAATAAAAATGTTTTTTTTTTAAAAAGGGGTTGATAAGATGTTGGTTGAAAAAGGGAAAAAGAAAAATTCAAAAAAGAAATAAAAAGACAAAAAGACAGTTAAAAAAAATTAACTTTAAAAGACTAAAGAATCATGGTAAAAAAGCCGTGAATTCTATGTGCAGTATTCCCCTAGCGCTGGAGTTCTGCCGTTCTCATTGATCGGTAAACTTGGTCTTGGCTGGCTGTTCTCGCTGATCTTCTGGGGAGGGGCCTGTTGCCGTGGTTTCCAAATGTCTCTGCCGGAGGCGGAATTGCCCCGCCCTTGCCCCCTCCCGGCTGAGTAATCTGCTCGGGTTTGCTCTCCGGGGCTTTTGTTCCCTGCGAGCTTTCCGTGCAGCTTTGGAGGCAGAGAGTGAAAACGGTGGCCTCCCAATCTCTGCCCCGGAGGAGCCGAGAACTCGGGGCCCCGCTCCTCAGTGAGCCCCCAGAGAAAAGCCGTCCGTCACTCCCGTCTCCCCGGTCTCCGGCCGCACTCCGTGCTCTCCCGGCCTGTGACCGCGCGCCTCTATCTCTGGCCCCCGACCCCGGGTGGAGTCTCCAAACCCAGCCGATCCCTGCGGTGCACTCCCGCGCGGCTCCTCCCGGGGGAGGAAGGGGAGTCTCCCCGGATCTGCCGCTTGTTGGGTCCCTGCTGGAGGAGCAGTGGCCCGGCTGTGCCGCGGATCACGGTTTATGGCCACCCCGAGCTGAGAGCCCGCGCCTGGGCTCCGCCTCTGCAGCCGGCTTCCCTGCTCCGATATTGGGAGCTCTGCCACACTCAGGCACCCCCGGTCTTTCTGTGACCCCGAGGGTCCTGAGACCACACTGTCCCGGAGGGTTCCACCCCCCACTTAGCCACCAGAGTGACGTCCCTCGGCGGAGCAGACTTTTAAAAGTTCCGATTTTGTGCTCCGCGGCTCTATCACTTGCCAGAAGCGGCCAACGGAGGCCCCTCCCCCGCCGTCTATCCTCCCGAATATCGCCTCGGATTCACCGCACGTCCTACCTTCCAGAAAGTGGTCGCTTTTCTGATGAGAGAGTTGTTGCTCTTCTTTTCTTCGATCTCCTGTTGAGTTTGTAGGTGTTCAGAATGGTTTGATCCCTATCCAGCTGAATTCCTGAGAGGAGACGAAATCCAGGTCTCCTATTCCTCCGCCATCTTGCTCCGCCCCCTAGATGTTGTTTTTGAATTAATGAATGAATGGAGTTTCTGATGGAAATGGTAAAGAAACAGAGCAGGATTTTTTTTTTAAAGATTTTATTTATTTATTTGAGAGAGAGAGAATGAGAGAGAGCACATGAGAGGGGGGAGGGTCAGAGGGAGGAGCAGACGCCCTGCCGAGCAAGGAGCCCGATGCGGGACTCGATCCAGGGACTCCAGGATCATGACCTGAGCCGAAGGCAGTCGCTTAACCAACTGAGCCACCCAGGCGCCCCAGAGCAGGATTTTGTAGAATATTGTCCAAAGTCATTAGAGAGATTGCCAAGATTTTTTTTTAAATCATAAATTATGACTTGCGTCCCATAACTATGCATGTTTCTCATATTTCTCTTTTGCTGTTTTCTCAAGTAGAAGATTTGAGCTAATGAATGTAATCGAGTGAGAAAGACTAGAGATGGAAAACCAAAGACTAATACTTGTATGGTTGTAAGGTTAAAGGTGGTTCTTTAAAACTTTCAGATAGTAAAAATATCTAATTGGATATATGTTAATGATATGCAGATGAATAGTGCTTTTGGGAAAATTTTGGTGGGACTTCACCAGACCCGAGAGATAAGTGGCAGCTGTGATAATCGTGGTACACAGCAGCCTGGGCTTTAGGACTCTGTTTATAAGTCTGGTTCATTTTAAGTGAGCATGTTGCTTTGAGGGTAGGGGTGGAGGATGGGAACTGTTTTGGTCTTCAGTCTTTCACTGGTTAATTACATGCCAGGCACTGTGGGACATGTCTTTCAGGGTATCCCAGGAGTGAACTTACCTCTTCGAAGCTCTTTGTCCTCTAATGTGAAAAAGCAGAGCATGTGTATTAGCACTATTCAAAGCTATCATTAAAAAAAAAAGATGGCTTAGGAAAGCAATGACCCTTGTATTCTGTTTTCTTTTATCTTTAGAAATTGCCTGCGTTCTACCTGCACTGATGGATGGCATACAGAGTCATCCCCGCAAACCATTCTATGGAGTTGGTGAGAAGGTGACCATTTCCTGTTCACGTGGCATGTCCTTAGAAGGTCCTTCAGCATTTCTCTGTGGATCCAGCCTTAAGTGGAGTCCTGATATGAAGAGTGTTCAGTGTGTGCAAAAAGGTGAGTAGCTCATAGGTCTGTCCAAGGACACCTGCACTCAGTGCCACTCCTTTATGGCACTGAATGGACATAACTGTGAGTCATTCCCTCCATCCCTGCCCGTCTACAAGAAGGTCAGTTCGTAGACTGGATAACAGACTCTTTTTCACATGGCACAGGTAGACTCATGGGATGCAAGGAACAGCAAGGAGAGCCCTGGTGATTCTGAAACTAACTTAAATCCTTCTTACCGAAGATTAGATAAGTTTTGGTGCTAAGAAAATAAAGAATTTTTAAAAAATAATTTCTGGTTTTCTCCAGATTTTTGGAATGTAATTTTATTAAGTACAGAGTTGAGTTGAAGATTTATAAAAAAATCTATGTTTCACTCCTGGGCTTTCAGAGAGTTTATTAGCATTATTGAAATAGAAAATTTAGAAGCATTTACACTTAACACTGCAAAGCAGAAGTTATTGAAAGCAAAGTGTTGTGGTTTGTACGGATGTTCTTAATAGTGGAAATCCAAAAATTCAGTATTTTGAACACCAAGCGAATTAAAATGATCTTTTAAGAAGCTACAGTGAGAAGAGGTTTAGAAAGCCAAACCATTTTTTTTTAGAGGTATTTAAGGTAGGATGGATTTATTTTTAAAATCACCTCCTGTTTCTTCTTTGTTTGCATTTTAAAAAATAAATGGAAAACACATGTTTGTGACAATTAAGAAACAGGAAGGAAGGAAAACGCATTTACATTCCATTTTGTATGGTATTCTTATTTTTCTGGTGAATGACTTTAATCCAATGCTAAAATTTGCCTTTTATGGTGAGGATGAAGTACTAGATTCTGTGAGTGATACCGTCAGGTGAATTCGATGGTCACAGCTAAAGAGAGGGCAGGCTGTACAGAATCCTCTGCAGCTGAAGGTGGACGTGGGCTGTGGTGTTAAACATAGACATTAATTGTCATCAGGAGGCAGCAGGGCCAGCCGGGTGCCCGCCATGCTGGTGCCCATGTGCTCATTAGCTGTCAGAGGTCCACAGCAGAGACAAGTGCTTTGTTTTCTACGGCACTGACACATCAATATGAATTTATCAGGGATATTTGAAGTAATGGACCTGTACCAGGAATTCTAAAATTAAAGAGAACAATGTACACTTGCTGAGGTTGCTCTTTCATTCCAAAGGAGATATTACATACTTGTCTTTCTAAAATGTCTGCTCCAGTCATTTTGTAGCACAATTTGGTATGAATTTTCTCCTACTCAGTAGCAAATTCTATTAAAGTTTCAGTTAAGGATATTCTTCAGGCCTGCGTGTTTTTCAGAAGACATTATGAATAAGAATAGTAACTTCCCTTAAAATAAGCCTATCACAAATAGAAAACTCCAGGTTTGTCAGCCTCCAAGGCTGATGTTTTAAAATAACTGCTATCAGTAGTTAGTCTTTTTATTTTTATTGCAGTAAAACAGACATAACATAACATTTACCATTTTAGCCATTTGTCAATGTACAGTTCAGTGCATTAAGTACATTCCCATTATTGTGCAACCATCATCAGCATCCATCTCCAGAGCTTTCTCATCTTCCCAAACTGACACTCCGTGCTCATTAAACACTAACCACTCATTTCTCCCTCCCTCCATCAATATGTAGTCTTGACGTAAAGATATATGAACATAACCAAGCTATATGTTCTTTCTTTCTTTTTTTTTTAAAGATCTTATTTATTTATTTGACAGAGAGAGAGATAGCGAGAGCAGGAACACAAGCAGGGGGAGTGGGAGAGCGAGAAGCAGGCTTCCTGCTGAGCAGGGAGCCCGATGTGGGACTCAATTCCAGGACCCTGGGATCATGACCTGAGCCAAAGGCAGCCGCTTAACGACTGAGCCACCCAGGTGCCCCCAAGCTATATGTTCTTAAATGCAAAGGTCTTTGGTCTAGCTAATTCTACCAGTGATTTTTCATAAAGAAATTATAATAACTTCTAGAAAACATTTAAAATCTAGAATTTCATTCTTATGAATGATTAGTAAATAAAGTTTAAAAAATATTTTTTCGGGGCGCCTGGGTGGCTCAGTTGGTTAAGCAACTGCCTTCGGCTCAGGTCATGATCCTGGAGTCCCTGGATCGAGTCCCACATTGGGCTCCCTGCTCAGCAGGGAGTCTGCTTCTCCCTCTCCCACTCCCCCCTCTTGTGCTCTCTCTCTCTCTCAAATAAATAAATAAAATCTTTAAAAATATATATATATTTTTTCTAGTTTTATTGAGAAATAATTGACATACATCACTGTAGAAGTTCAAGGTGTACATCATTGATGGTTTGATTTATATCTATTGTGGAATGATTACCACAGTAGGTCTAGTTGACATCCATCATCTCGCTAAAATACAATAAAAAAAAAAGAAAATTTCTCCTTGTGGTGAGAACTCGCAGGATCCACTCTCCCAACAGCCTACCCGTATATCATAGAGCAGTGTTAACCATAGTCTCTGTGTTGCACTTTACATCCCCAGTACCCATCTGTCTTATAACTGGAATTTTGTACCCTTTGACCACCTTCTTTGCATTCCCTCTCCCCTCTCCCCTGCCTCTAGCAAATAAACTTCTAAGCGTAATGCAGAACTCATTTATATGACTTTATCATTGAACTTTAGTTTTGGTACATTTAGATTAGACTTTCTCATCCCCAACACTATTGGAATTTTGAACCTGGTAATTCTTTGTTGTGGGAGCCTGACCTGTGCATTGTAAGATATTTAGCAGCATCCCTGGTCTTCACCTACTAGATGCCTGTAGCACCCCCTCACCCCTGGTTATGCAAAAATGTCTCTAGACATTGCCGAATTGCCACTGGTTGAGAAGCACTGATCTAGATAACACCATCTTTTTGTTGTTGTTCAGTGAGGGAGGGGCAGAGGGAGAGTGTGAGGGATGGAATCTGCTAAGTGTGGTGGCCCAAGGTGGGGCTGGATCTCATGACTCTGAGATCATGACCTGATCCGAAATCAAGAGTTGGACACTTAACCGACTAAGCCACCCAGGCGCTCCCTGGAGAACACCATCTTAAAAAACATTTTATTTTGGAACAATATTAGATTTCAGAAAAGTTGCAAATACAGTTTTTGTATACCCTTCACCATGTTCTCAAAATATTAACATCTCATATAACTTGACATAATTTAGTGGGTTAATTAAGACATTTAATATTAGTATAATACTATTGACTAAACTACAGATTTTATTTTTTCTACTATATCCATTTAATGGTCTAGGATCCAATTCAGAATACTACATTGCATTTAGGATAATAGACTTTTAAAGGGAAGTGTTTAAAGAATGAGTACTCATTACAGATGTGGCTGGACATGGCAGGCTATGCTTTACATTGCTGCCATTTTTTACAAGTTATGAATTGTTCATGAGATTTTACTGTCATGTCTAAAGCTCTTACGTTTTCCAAATTAAGGAAGTATTGCACAGTTTGTGCATCCATAAAAATATGCTCCTCAGATAAATTACCTTTATAGATATATCCAACAAAGAACTAGTTTTATGATGGGAAAGTATATGCCACTGAATTCCATTGTCATGAAGCTGGCAGGCAGTGGAAATAGCAGGATATTTTAGGCTATTCACCTTGTAATCAGGGATAGCTGAGGAGATGGCCGTCAAATCAAGCTCTTGTAAGCTGGACCAAGGTGTTTTCCTGTCAAAATTGGAATGATGGTTGACTTCGATCAGTTTGTAGAAAGCACAAAGCAATGGAAAGGATTTTATTAAATGTAAATACCTCTAGATATTGATTCACTATTGAAGGGAAACCAATTAGACATTTACATGTGAGAGGTTATTATACATCTTGGGGTACTAGGGAGTTCTCCATGTATAGATCACATTATGTTGCTTTCTGTCCCACTATAGACAGAGTGGGTAAAATGCAGTCCAGACAACAGTTTATAAATCGCAATTTATTAATGAAAGGGAGCCTTCTCCCCTGGCCTTGAGTTGAGACAAACATGGACTTAAATCCTGGCTTGGCCAATCTGTTAAATATGTGAACTAGCACTAATTTCTTAGCTTTTCTGACCCTTTGTTTGTTTCTTTTTTTTTTTTTTTAAGATTTTTATTTATTTATTTGACACAGAGAGAGCACAAGCAGGGGGAGCGGCAGGCGGAGGGAGAGGGAGAAGCAGGCTCCCCGCTGAGGAGGGAGCTTGATGTGGGGCTCGATCCCAGGATCCCGGAATTGTGACTTGAACCGAAGGCAGACGTTTAACCGACTGAACCACCCAGGTGCCCTTGACCCTTAATGTCTTTAACTCTGAAGTGGGCATCTGTTAAGGAGGATTAAATATCACAATAGTCAATGCTCACACAATAGGAAATGCTCAAGAAGTGGTAACAATGAAATTATTTGTAGGGTACTCCTAGGAATGCTCTGTCTCCTGTAAAATGCTTTACAGCTTTGTTTTTCAACTGTACAAATTTGTGGCAGTTGAGAATATTACAGAACCTGGTTCAACAATTAAAATAACATCTTGTTTACCATAAAGAAGCTCTTCGAATGACTGCATCTCCCTTATCCTTTTCTTTCAGAGGCCCCTTTGCCACCAGCAGTGCCCGAATGTCAGCGCTGGGAGAAACTGCAGAATTCAAGATGTGTTTGTAAAATGCCCTATGAATGTGGGTAAGCTCTGCTTTTGCTTTTTTAAAAATTTTTATTTTATTTTATTATTTTTATATTTTATTTTTATTTGTTTTATTTTATTCAAGATAAAAAAAAGTGTGTCAATAGATGCTAGTCTCTCTGTTAGATCGAAGGTGCTGCTGACCAAGGGTTAAGGATCTTTGTTTGCGTCTTAGCCTGGCCCATCTACTGTCTGTTATTTGCCTGGGTCACCCCAGGCCTGGCAACCAGCGGCGTTACGCAGTGTTCTATTCCGTCTAGAGAAAGGCTGAAGGACTCGGGCACTGCTTGTTTTATACATGAAATGGGGCAAAATGAAAACACTGTTACTCGAGGATTTAGAGCTTGAGGAAATTAGGGTTGAAATTCCCTTGAAATATAAACTCTTATGCAGTGTTCCAACAGAGATAACAAGTAGCTGCTTTTCCGATTCTCGAAATGGCTGTGTCTTGAGATGGGCATTATAAGAATGCCACCCAGCTTGCAATCACTCTGCTGTAGGTGGATAGCTGAAGTAGGTACTAGATGTCTGGGTTATGGTCCTAGTGGGACAAGGGAGTCTGACTGCCTTAGGACAAGAGGAGCTTTCCCTAGCGGGACTATTTATAGACATGTGGGCAGAGGGAAGGAAACTGCACGCCAGGGGGCAGTAGTCCCTGACTGCCAACAGCCAAGGTGCATATCTGTGCCCGGGGCCTGAAGCAGTGACAAGAGGGGCTTTTATGCAAAGCTGGAGACAGAGAAGACTGTGCAGATGGCAGCTGAGGAAGAGCTGAGTCCCTCATTTTAGGAACCTCAGAGAACGCCCCCCCCCCCGCCCCCCGCCACCCTGGAGTGAGCCAGGGCACTAAACATCCCTCCAATCTCCTGCCATTGATCAAATGCACCTGAAGCTAGAAGATAAGGAAGTGGTTCATAGTGTCAGCCTTCCTGGCAGTGGGGCGGAGAATGGAGAGTGAATCTGGGGAGGCAAATGGGAGAAATCTAAGCCCCCAGATTTATTGGTCATCTTTAAGTTTGAATCAAAACATATGATTACTGACGAACCATGAGAGACGATGGACTCTGAAAAACAAACTGAGGGTTCTAGAGGGGAGGGGGGTGGGAGGATGGGTTAGCCTGGTGGTGAGTATTGAGGAGGGCACATTCTGCGTGGAGCACTGGGTGTTATGCACAATGAATCATGGAACACTTCATCTAGAACTAATGATGTAATGTATGGGGATTAACATAAGAATAAAAAAAAAAACCATACGATTACTGACCAATTACAGTTGACCCTTGAACAATACGGGGGTTGGGGTGCCGAACCCTTCACACAGTCAAAAATCCACATACAGCTTTTGACTCCCCCCAGAACTTAACTACTGATAGCCTACTATTGGCTGGAAACCTTACCAATAACATAAATATTTTTTTAAAAAAGATTTTTATTTATTTATTTGAGAGAGAGAGAGGGTGAGAGAGCACAAGCAGGGGGAGTGGCAGGGAGAGGGAGAAGCAGACTCCCTGTTGAGTAGGGAGCCTGTTTTGGGGCTCCATCCCAGGACCTTGGGATCATAACCCGAGCCGAAGGCAGACGCCTAACCGACTGAACCACCCAGGCGTATATACTGTATTCTTACAATAAAGTGATCTATAGAGAAGAAAATACTATTGAGAAAATCATAAGGAAGAGAAAATACATTTGTAGTATCAAAACAAATCTCTGTATAAGTGGACCGGCAGTGCAGTTCAAACCAGTGTTGCTGGAGGGTGAGCTGTACTTGGCTTTCAATTATTATTGTCCCCGAAACACACACCTAACTCCTTGAACACCTACAGTGGGTAATGGTGATTGTGGCAGTATCTTATTTTTTTTTCTTTTTTAAAGATTTTATTTATTCATCTGAGACACAGAGATAGAGAGAGAGCACGAGCAGGGGGAGAGGCAAAGGGAGAGGGAGAAGCAAGCTCCCCGCCAAGTCAGGAGCCCGATGCGGGGCTCGATCCCAGGACCCCGGGATCATGACCTGAGCCGAAGGCAGACGCTTAACCATCTGAGCCACCCAGGCGCCCCTGTGGCAGTATCTTATAAGAAGTAACTTCTTTCAAGAAAAATATAGCCAAACAGTGTAAATTGTAGTGGTCGTCCGCCCAGGGTGTTCTGACTGTGGTGTTATTTTTTTATGAATCATTGTTGACTTTGATTCACTTTCATCCTCTTTCCAACTTTTCTGATTCATTTACTTTATCTGTAGCCTGCTGTTTATAGACATGGTGTGAGCTTTCTATCAGATACTGATAACAAGGTGGCTTTGCCAGGTCTCTGCCCTTTGAGCTGTTCTGAGTAGTTCAATTTAAAGCTTAAATAAGCAGATAAAAGAAAGATACAAGGATTTGTTTTTGTGATGTAAATAACTCCAAGTAAATTTAGCTCTTGGTATTGAAGAAAATATTAGAGCTAAATATATATAAAAATAAATATAAACTCCATCTACCATACAAAAATACTTTGTTGTCTAAGCGTTCACTACAGTAATGCCTTCCTTATCTATCAACATTCAGGAAGGTGTTTGTTTTTATTAGTGACCTTTCCAAAAAGCCGAATCTCACCATTTTAGCATGCATGCTTAAGAAACAAAAAAGTAATATATTTTTATAGAAATATTTCTAAACTACTTTGTAAACATCAATACTTTAAAAAAATCCCATTGATTATGTTAACTTTGTTTTCGTTTTTTGAGAGACAATGAAAGACTAAGGAACTGGTCCAGGTTAAAGGAGATTAAAGAGACATGGCAACTGAATGGAGTGTGTGATCCTTGGACTTTGGAGAGGGAAAAAAAGATGTAAAGGGCATTTAGGGAACAGTTGACAAATATTGTCTATGAAATAGATAGTAGTATTGTATCAATATTAAAAATCCTGATTTTGATAACTATACTGTAAAAAAAAAATCCCATTGAAAAATACAATTTCATCTTCTCTTGAGGATTTGGTCATCAAGTGTTGGACAATGCCATACAGGCCTGCTGGCTTGGGAGGACCTAATTTCTGCAGTCAACAGTCCCAACAGACTACAGTCTCTGAGTGTGTGATCTTTGCTGATTTTCTGCCTCCTTCCTGCTTGTCAACCCACCAGTGTCCTGAGCAGACCTTGCCTTCTCTTCTAATTTGCTGTATCTGATCTGCTCTAGATGAAACTAGAGCAACACGAGACACCTAAGCTTGTAAAAATTGTGAGCAAATAGGAGCAAAATATGTTCATTTTGAAGATCTGAGGAGGGTGAGCCCCAGGCATGAAGGAGATCGAAGTTTCTGCTCCATCTTTTTGCTGTGGCTGGTAACGTCAGAGGCCCTGAGCTCAGAGCCTCTCCTTTCGCTTCTCATCCTCCATTTCGAAGACTGAAAATCTTCTAAGTAATGTAATTTAAAAAATTTGTTTCAGATCCTCCTTGGGTGTATGTGCTCGAGATGAGAGAAGCAAAAGGATACTGCCTCTGACAGTTTGCAAGATGCATGTTCTCCACTGTCAGGGTAGAAATTACACCCTTGCTGGGAGGGACAGTTGCACTCTGCCTGTCCCCACTGAGAAAGCCTGTGGTGCCTGCCCACTCTGGGGAAAATGTGATGGTAAGGGGCATTTCATATTTGTAACTATAACAATGCGAAGGTAGTAGTACTGAGGTTTTTAAAACTGGGGGTTCTAGTTTAGCAGCAAATCCAAGCAGATCCCTGAGGATGTGAAAGTCTAGGCTGGTCCAAGAGTGAACTGTCCTTGCCCACAGCCTTCCCTGGGGAGCCGGGGCGGGGGGATCGAGTACCTAAGAGAACAAAAACCCATCCTCAATGGTTTGACTGTCCTCCCAAACCCTGGTGCTTCCCATTTCCCCTTCATGGTTCTTGCTCCTTGTATTATCCAGATTATGTATTCATTTTAAAAAATAGACTCACATAAAAATACCTATTTTTAAAAAAGGACATTTTCTTATCACTTTCTTAAAAGGAACTATCGCGTGCCATAAATATTAGGTAACTATAAAAATACATGTAAAGAAACAAAATAAGGTTGTAGAGTCTAGCCAGATGGGGCTGGCAGCTTGAGGAGTACTGCTTCTGTGGGAGAAAGGGAGTTTAAAAGATTTTATTTTTATTTATTTGAGAGAGAGAGAATGAGAGAGAGAGAACACCTGAGAGGGGATAGGGTCAGAGGACGAAGCAGACTCCCTGCCGAGCAGGAAGCCTGATGTGGGACTCAATCCAGGGACTCCAGGATCATGACCTGAGCCGAAGGCAGTCGCTTAACCAACTGAGCCACCCAGGCGCCCTGAGAAAGGGAGTTTAGCAAGTGTTAGGGGAGTGTTAAAAGCCTGTCAGTGCCAAGGTGACACTTTCTCCTAGAAGTACTCAGAAGAATTTGAAGACGATAGAAAAAGGAGTTACTTTTTCAGCTCGTGGCTCGAGATTTGCCAGCACTACGTCCCAGTAGCACTTAACGATGATCTTAAATAGTACCCTTGCATGGCCTTCCTCTCAGTTTTAGCTACACTACTAAGGGGGAAAGCCTGCGTGGCCGGAGCCAAGTCACTGCCCTCAGTTTCCCCATCTGGGGAAATTTGGGAGCTGGACTGTGTGATCTGTGAGATCTCTGCCAGCAACTCATGCCCTCCCCGTGGCCTGTACCAGCGGGGCCCTTTTCCTCTCACTCCGGGACAGTTCGTGGCCCAAGCCAGGACGTACTGAACCCCAACCACTGGGTCACATTAGGATTGGCAGTCACCAGTGGGCTGGCCAGCACCTGCAGCGCACACGGTGAATTCCTCCCCAACTCATTTCTGGCTTATTTTTACAGGCTATATGGCCTTTTGCGTTTTATGCCCTGTGTCTCAAAGCGAATTGAATTCTTTTCTTTGTCCTTGTTTGAGCCTTGCAGCAACTTGGTCTTTGCTGAGGTCTGCTTATCTGTCAGGGGTTGAGGGATTTATATTCAGTTTCCGGCTTCCCTAGACAGCACGAGAGAGGACTGGGGAGCCCTTGACTTGGAGAGAGCTGGCGCACGTGGGTCCGGCCAATCGGCCTGGCCAGCCTCAAACCCTGCTTATCCTCACTTTCCCGGTCCTACTGCTTTCCCAAGGGGGGCTGGTTGCGGCCCCCGAGGCAGGCGCTTCTAGAGATCTCTGTAGAGCATCGTGATTTTGGAGGTTATGTGCCTGGACTCTCCCCGCTCCACCGCGTGCCATTAAGCCTGCGTCGTTTATGTTTCCAGCCCAGAGCGGCAGGTGTGTCTGCAGAGAAGCCTCGGAGTGCGAGGAAGGCGGCTTTCGCGTCTGCGTGGAAGTGGACGGCGTGGAGCAGACGATGAGCGAGTGCGCGGCTGGCGCGCTCAGGTGCCGAGGGCAGGACGTCACTGTCACCAGCACAGGGCCCTGCGCCGCGGGGACCCCGTAGGCTCCCGGGCCCCGGGCGGAATCCCACAGCCCGCTGTGGCTGAGTTCAAACACACGTAACTGAGTGCTTGAGGCGACTCTGCCCGCCGGGGGGCCCCTTCCTTCTCCGGGCCCTGCACCGTCTCTCCCCAACGCCCAGCTGCGCGCACCAGCACAGCGCCCCCCGCCCCCCGCCCGGTTCTGCCAAACCCGAATCCAGATAATAGGCCTTCTCTTCTTATGTAAAGTGTCAGTCAGGATGAACAACGCACACGAACCTGTGCAAGAGCTGACTGTGTGTGCTTGGACACATTGCTCACTTGTCTGGACCTTGACTTTCTAAATCCGAAAATTAGAGGCTTAGACCAGAGAAACTCGAATCCTCCGTTCAGCCCTAGGATTCTTTAACACATGATCGACCCCACCCATGGGCCAGAACACACTGTACAGATGGATTAGGAGAAGAGGTAAGATGAGAGAGGTTGGCTTCGCTCAGGGAAGCTGAATGCTTAGGGGACCGTGAATGGAAAAAGACAGATACAATTATCCACCCCAAGCAGCCGTCTCAGGCTTCCCCCTGTGACTCCAGCACCACAGGCAGGGATCCGAACCCCGGAAATGTCAGAACCACTGTGCTATCCTCTCTGGCACCTTCTGCCTTCTTGTCTGAGCACAAATACAATCCCCTCTTCTCTCTGGGGCTTTTCTCTAGGGCGTGTCAAGCGCAAGAACTGCAGTTTGCCGCCTTTCCCCCCTTTTCTTTTGTAGGAAGCGTGAGTTCATGCCTGAGCTATTGAGAGATTGTGTATTTGACAGCTCAGTTTTCTCGCATATGAATACATGCTTGGATTTTTCAGGGGCCGCACAGGTACATCAATTTGAGACATTGGCCTTTTTATTCCTTATTCATCTTTCTGCAAAACAAAAAAGCAGCTGTGGGAGATGGAATGAGTGGGCTTAAGTGGAATTTAAAATATGCTTTCATATACAAATAATAACTGTACTTTTCTGGTACTGATAAATACATTTCAACAAAAGCTTAGTTAAAACGACAATGATTAAAATCTCATTAAAGATACTATTCTTTGGAGTTTTTTTCAACCGTATTATGTTTAATTTTAAAGAATGTTTCCACGAAGAATGGCTAATATGTTCTTTTTAAATATATTTTTACTTTTTAAATTACTTTACAGAGGTATGATTGACATGTAAAAAGCTATACAAATTTAATGTATACAACTCCGATGAGTTTGGGGATAAGTACGCATCAATCAAGACCATAAACATCTATCACCTCCTGAAGTTTTCCCCCACCTCTCTTCTCATTGTTGTTGTTATTTATTTATTTTATGGTAAGAACACAACATAATATCTTCCTTCTCAGAAAACATTTTTAAAAAGAGTTTATTTATTTATTTTAAAGAGAGGGCTTGCACGGGACAAGGGGGAGGAGCAGAGGGGAAGGGGAGAGGGAGATAACCTTCAGCAGACTCTGCATGCTGAGTATATCCTGAGCGTAGAGCCTAATGTGGGGCTCCATCCCACCACCCAGGGATGATGACCTGAGCCAAAACCAAGAGTCACGCACTCAACTGACTGAGCCATGCAGGCGACCCCTTCTTAGAAAATTTTAAGTATATGTTAAAGTATTGTTAGCGATAGGCATTTTGGCTAACACATAGCTACAGCAATGCCGTATAGTGGATCTCCAGAACTTCCTCATCTTGCATAACTAAACCTTGCTACTCTTTGACCATCATGTCCCCAAATCCCCCCTCTCCTCAGCTCCTAGAAGCCACCATTCTACTACTCTTTTCTTTATGAACTTGACTATTTTAGGTTATACACATAAGTGAGATTATATAGTATATCTTGCGCTGTTTGCTTTATTTCATTTAGCATAGTGTCCACTACGTCCATCCATATTGTTGTAAATGGCAGGATTTCCCTCTTTTTTCTAAGGCTGAATAACATTTCATTGTATGTATATACCACATTTTCTTTATTTACTCATCCATGGATGGACACTTAGGTTGTTTCTATATCTTGGGTATTATGAATACCTCTTCAGGATCCTGATTTCAATTCCTTTCGATATTTGCTCAGAAGTAGAATTGCAGATCATATGGTAGTTTTTTTTTTAAAATAATTTTTCGAGTAAACTCCATACTATTTTCCACAATGGCCATGCCAGTGTGTTCTTACCTGAAACCCAGGTCTGATTCAGGTCCAGCTTTATATACCACATTGTCCCTTGAATGAAGATTCAGATAGAATATATGGAAGTTACAAGGAGGCAGGTTTTGGGATGCCTGGGTGGCTCAGTTGGTTAAGCGTCTGCCTTCAGCTCAGGTCATGATCCCAGGGTCTTTCCTGGGATTGAGCCCCACATCGGACTCTCTGCTCAGTGGGGAATCTGCTTCTCTCTCTCTCAAATAAACAAAATAAAAAAATACAAGGAGGCAGGTTTAAATAGATTGAAAATGATAGCGTTCAGAAATGTTTAATTGAGGCCAACTGCATTTGTTAGAGGTTATTAGGGAGTTAATTTCTATCCTGGGTAGGGGGATAGGTTTGAAAATGCCAGGACCACATGTAGATCCCAGAACAAAATTGAACAAGTAATTTCTTTGGGAGGAAGAGATCAGTATCCTTCCAATAACTTCTCCTCTTGTCTTACGCTAGTATAGAGTTAAACGTCTACTACTTATGCACCATCACCCTCCTTTCCTAACTAGTACAGAGGATATGGTCAAATTATCAAGTGCTATAGGAGAGGTCAAATGAAGTCTGAAAAAAAACAAATTAGCAGATTTGACAACTAAGGTTTGAGAAAGAAGTTTCCCAGAGTTAATGAAGGAAAAGTAAGGGGTTAGTGAAGAGTTGGTGGGGAAGGAAGGAGCAGTGAATGAAGTTGTAGAGAGATGCCATCTTGAAAAATTAAATTTTGTGCCTTTTTTCTTTTCTGAACATTCTTACACTTGACCTTTCCTCTAGTAGAGATCTTCACAGTTGCTTATAAAAGAATTAGGATCATTGCAATGAGTCTGCAAGGAGAAAGTAACTTTCAATATTAAGTCTTTTAAAATGTTTTGAAACTTTGAAAATAAGCTCTTGAACATCTAAAGAGAAGGCTTTGAGGAAAGCCAGGAGGACTGTTTATACCATGAAAATTGACTGCATGGAGAATGTGGTAGGTAGTGTGAGAATTTCCTCTGCTTGCCCTTCCTGCTGCTCAGACAGGTGAGGGTCCTCTGGGTTAGAGTGGGATATAACCTTGGAGGAGAAGGCAGAAAGTGTTGATGTCAAAGTTGTCTGGACCTAGTCGGGGACAGAGGAGGAGGAAGGAATTGGCAGTTGCATAAACCATTACTAGCTTTAGGGAGCTATGTGCGAGCCAAGCCACATCCCACAAGTCATCACTCACAATTTAAAGGGACACTGCAAGTCACCTGGGCAGAGAAGCTGCTTTGGAAGATCTTCTAATCACACCGGAGAGTGTCTTTTTTAAAAAAAATTTATTTAAATTCAATTAATTAACAGATATTGTATTACTAATTTTAGAGGTAGAGTTCAGTGCTTCATCAGTTGCATATAACACCCAGTGCTCATTACATCATGTGCCCTCCTTATTATCATATGATTTCACTCATATGTGGAATTTAAGAAACAAAACAGGATCATAGGGGAAGGGAGGGAAAAATAAAATAAGACGAAATGGAGAGTGTCTTCTTATGACACTTCACACATTTCCTAATAACTGACCAACGGAAGTGCTGCTTATCAATGCCATGAGATTTTGTGAACCCCATCCAGACTGCTCTCCCTCCCTTCCACCAACAATCTGGGATACTTGTAATCCCTTAAAACAGAGGGAAGGTTCTTACGTTTAGGTGAGGTATAGTGGGGGTGTGGAGTGGCAAGCGGAAATATCTGACAAATGACCCCTGGAACTCTGAGTTACCTGGCAACTAGCCAGCTAACCGGTTAATATGATCAAGGGCTCCCCCCTCAGCTGGAAATGTCATGGCTAATCTCAGCTTCATATGAGAACTGTGAACCCATCCTGTTGTTAAGCAGTCACTCAGCGCTACAGGTGCTGGGCAGATGGTGTACCCAGCATCCAGAAAACAGGTTGTTATGTGCCTTTACCTTTTGCTTAAGGTAAGTATGTGTATTAATGAATATTCTTGAACCCCATAGCTTATCATCCGTTCTACATTTTCTTTCTATGGATACCAAATTTTCTTACACCCACACACTCACTGACTTGCTAACCCACCATAGGCATTCGGATTATTTCTAATAGCTGGTGGAGGAGGTCATCATGAACTTGAAGTTAAACTAAGATGCTACATGATTTGCGTAGGAAATGAAGTAAGTGTCCAGGTGTACCTACTCTACCTACTCTTTATCTGAGGTTGGAGAGAGAGGCAGATGAGGGACAAGACAAGAGAAAAGAAATGAAAAAGAGAGAGAGAAAGCATTTTTAGTACAGGATTAGCAGAACCGAGCAGTCACATTTGTCCTGCTACCTACCAGTGCGCCGAGATTTTTCCTTCTTGATGGACTAACGTGTATTCAATACTTGTGCTCGAAATGGAATGACCTGTTTCTCTTTCAGAACACTGAGCCAGAAAGCAACCACAGTAGGAGGCAATTTCCGTTAATATCTGAGAAACCAGAGGTATATGCATGCCTTTCAGTTACCCTGGTCTTTCAGGCAGCTCACACATTTGGGGACAAGAAAGCTGATGGCATGATAGGACTCCCTGCTGTGAAAACCAAAGCACTTACAATTTGTCTTTTTATTTATTCCTGTCAGACAAAGCTCCAGATTTACACTAAAAACATCAATCACGTAGGGAAATTTGCTTTTTTAAGCCAAGGGTTAACAAGACCAGATAGAAAGACTGTTGTTTGAGAAGAAACGGGATGATGGTGACTAGGTGGATAGAAGAAAGACAATAAAATGTTATTTTTGATTCGCAGGCTGAGGACAATTTCCTGCAAAAGGACAAACATAAAGAACTGCCCCGTTATCACTGCTATTTGCACGCATCTTTAGGAGAGGAGACTTGTACTGAATATCCAGGGGCGGGGCCTTAGGTACATAGCAGATCAGTGATGTTCAGGACAGAGATGCACTGACTTGAGGCAGAAAGCATATGTGCTGCAGAATCATTCTCTTGATGCTGATCAAGTCGGCTAGGAACACAGAGAGGTCAAGGAATTTTCTATAATTGTGAAATGGAATTTTCTCATCAAAGGAAATTTTCCCAGACATCCTCAAGAGGAAGTGATTAACACGAAAGGCTCAGCACTGGTGTATTATTAGACTATATGCAACCCACGAGTACATTATGACAGTATTTAATAAAGGGCTCCAACTGAACTCCAAGTCTGGAAATTCTTCTCTGCACAGTTACTGAGCATTAAGAGGAACTCCTGAGGTCAGGTGTGATGTCAAACTGGACAAGCCCACTAACTGGATGATTACAGCTCTATGGGATTACATACTTTGGTATGATGATAAGGAGCCCTCCAAAGTACCTTGAGTCTCTTAAAAATATGGTGATTGGCTTTTTACGATGGACATGGTGCACAGAATTCATTAGATGTGAGAGAAGGCACCTTTGAGGAGATCTTGCCCCCCAAATTCCTCTAGACTGGTCAGGATAGGGACTTGTCTTATAGGGTTCTGTGCTTCTTGTAGCTCAGTGCATTGGCTGTTTGTGCTCAATAAAATGTCTATTTTATAGTCATATTTCTATAGTCACATAGCTAGTTAGCAGAAGACCTAGTTTGGAAATGGCTTCCTAGGGTAATGCTCACCTTGTTTCACTGCAGTGCTGGCCTTTTTTCTGTGCTGTAGCCGTGTGGTTGTTGTTTGAGTTGTGTCTTGCCAGATGTGGGAGAGGTAATGAGCCATGTGATGTGGCCTTTGGTTCACATGCGGGGGCTGGTATTCTGAAATACTAACTTGGCCTTAAATAGGTACACTTTGTCTTTGGTGCCATGGAAGTATGCCCCTCCTATCTCTCTTCTTTTTTTCTTTTGCATAAAGATGGCAGATTT